ACATGCTATGTTTTCATTTCATATTTGAAGACATAGAAGTAATTCTATCTGATTGGAACGTTTGCATATATGTGGGAATAGGTGGTGAGACAGAGAGAGGTAGATAGGAACTATAGCAGGTGACAGATGGTTATTTGTGTTTGTTTCTTGATACAGAGGTTTTTAAAATTCATAGGAAATCATTGAGGCGCATAAAGCTGGAGCATGGACCTTTTATAGTTACTCAGAGGCAGTGAGGTTGGTTGGCTCTTTGTTCATCTCCACTACCTTTGGTTAACCTTGGATTTTGCCCTTTTGGTTGTCAGCAGTTCTATTTGCATATTTAACACAACTTCACATTCATTTAACTGATTCACCCTGTGCTCTGAATTTTCACCTCTGAAGTCTCTCAGGAGAATTTATCCTGGAACTTTCTAACCTCTGGTTTAGGATCTCAATCAACACTAGAATGATGTGACCTTGGTTTTTATATGCATACTTAACTCCGATTTTATTACTCCTGGAATGTCATCATTTTGTTGCCTGGTGTGTACTCGGCATACAAAAGTATAGCTAGGATTTAAAAGTTTATTTCCAACTTTGATCACCCTTTCAGGACGTAAGCTATTAAGAGCAATTTAGCATTTCTGATAAATAATGATAAAGTGGTACCCACATTTTTGGATGTAATTCTGAAAGTAGAAAGAAGCTTCTATTTATATTTCTGTATCAGAAATTCTGTTAATATATAATGTGTGAATCACAAAGGAAACGCTGTGTTTTGTCCTAATTAGAAGCAAAAGCGACATCATATTTGAAGTAGTTTGAGACTTTTTCTATTTCAGGATTACTTTGGGGGTATTTAATGTTTTAGATATGGTCAAGATGTTAGAAGAATTCTTTGGCAAACTCACATCTTAGGTTCTGTCAGGATGGATCATTATCTATAAACATGTTATTATTTTTTAATTTCTTGTCATTCTTGAAAGCAAAACAGGATAAGAGCAGACCAGGAAACAGAGCAGCAGTGTGGAGAGCAAATGTTATGTTGGTTAAAGAGCAGAATAGTTGGCCAAGTCCTAAATAATAGGAGCTCAGAGAAAGATTTTCTCAAGAGTCAGACCCAGAAATACACTGACTTGTGTTAAGAGAAATGAATGTCGTGTAAGTAACATTAAATATAATTAATCGAATGAATTCAAGTTTTAGGTTGTCTGGCTTGAGGAGTATAATAAAATCATTTATATAGTAAAGCTCGATTTCACTCTTAGTCCCCATTTTAAACAGTAAGGATTCCCCCTTCCACACACACACACCATTTTTTCCCCTAGAAATGTTGATGCTATTTCTGGTTCTACTCTCTTCATAAAAGTATCTTTTTTTTTCTGGCTCTCCTTACAATGCCTGGCAAATAACACTGTTGTCTATACGAAAGCCCGCCATCCAAATCTCACTAGAAAGATTCTTTACTGGACCCTTTTCTGAACTTGGGGTGTCAGAGTCACACTGGATGTGTTCTGGGTCCCAGGGCATCCCCCATGAAAATAGTTCATTTAGGCTTTATCTTTCTTCTCTCTCCCTTAAGGACAAAATCAGGCCAGGAGGTGGCTGAACCAAGGTATCACCCCCTGCACAAACATGTCACCTTGCACAGACAAAGCAAAGTAACTCAACAATGGTTCTTACCTTTTTAGTTTCAACAAGGGTCTTCATGGAAATAGAGATGTGTTCATGAGGGTTAAGGTCTAAATGGCAGGCACCTTCTAATTCAACTTTCTTACTGGCAGTTTTTAAGGTAGACTATGAAGTGTTTGATCGCAGTCATGATTTCTAAAAAACTTCTCTTTTAATGATATTGATCAAATTGATTTCTGTTATGTTCTGAGCCATGTGATAGAACTTTTTCAGAGCCCAGTTCTATACAAAGTACAACCTTGAGAACAATTTGTTGATTTCTTTTTTAAATGTTTGTATTATGAAAAGATTCAAAGGTACAAAAAGAATAGAGACTATTATAACAGATGCTTCTCTTCCCCCCTTGAAGGTAACTACCATATTTAAAGTGATAAATTATCCTTTCAGCACATATAAGAGTTTTTTTTAAATGTATGTTTAAATTATACACAGTTGTTTTCTGTGTATTTAAGAATTTCTCACAAATGAGATCACTTTTCAGTTTGCTTTTCCCACTCAAACTTTGACCTCAGGACTTACTCACTTTAATATGGTAGCTGTCCCCTGACTCACAACCCTAAGCCCATTTTGTCCCGCCCAGATTAACTGCCAGTGGATCTGGAGTGAGCATCTCACAGTGGTTCCTGAGTTAGAGGACTCAGAATATGGCTGGGGTATTATTGCCTGTTGATATCTCCTTTAAAGCAGTTATTTTTATTCTCAGGTTTTGGATTATTTTTTCCTTATTCTTAGAATAACAAGAGATATCTGTAACCATAGAGACACAAAGACATTCTTGTGACTCTAATGTATAGTCACTCAGCCCTCCTAATCAGCATCTCGGTAGAAACTAATACTTGGCCATGCCCTAGATAATGTCCCAACTCATTTTTTGGCAACTGGGTTTTACTAGAATTTGTCAAATTGCCTGACAAAATGATGTGTACCCATTTGCACTGCCATCTGCAATCGAAGTGTTCTCTTTTGTTCACATTAATTTAATGGGATTAATATTATTATGCTTAAATTTGTTTGCCCATGACACCAAGTATGAAATATCTCATGGTTTACATTGTAGATTTTTCAATTATTAGTGGAGTCAAGCATCTTATTGTGTACTTATCAGTAATATGAATTTCTTTTCTGTGAATTGAGTAGTCTAATCTTTTGTCAATTTTTAATATTTTTCCTTATTGATTTGTGGGAATACTATATTTATTACATGAGTGTAGGAGTACTAATAGTTTATCAGTTATACCATAAAGGAGAACAATTTTATGCATGTAAGGGCTACCTAGTAATATCATATAAGTCTGTACAATTATTGGTGGTAATGATTATGGTAGCTTGGATATCAAATAAAATAGAATTAATATAACTAGGTTTAAGAAAGGAGGATAAGCTGGGCTCAGTGGCTCAGTCTATAATCCCACACTTTGGGAGGCTGAGGTGAGTGGATTGCCTGAGCCCACGGGTTCGAGACCCACCTGGGCAACTTGGTGAGTCCTCATCTCTACAATAAATCAAAAATTAGCCGGGCGTGGTAGTGCGCACCTGTAGTTCCAGCTACTTGGAAGGCTGAGCGGAAGGATCACTGGAGCCCAGCAGGTCAAGGCTACGGTGGCCGGGAGCGGCCACTACACTCCAGTCTGGGTGATAGAGTGAAACTCCAACTCAAAAAAAAAAAAAAAAAGAAAGAAAGAAAGGAAGATAATTTTAAGTTGCTAAGAAAGATACTCAACCCCAAATGATAATATATACAAAAATACTTTCATACTCAAGAAGGTTTGTTTTAATTATTTGTATTATTCAGTCATGTAAAAGCATTTATTCCCACACAAATGGATAACTGAAATAGTCTAGGTTTAATGCAGTGGTTTTTGGAATATAGTTTTTATTTGATTTATGTTTGCAGCAATATAGCTCAATATTTCCCAAATTCCTTTTTCTATAAATGCAATTGAAAATCCCAATGAAAAATTCAAATAATGTAGAGAGTGCATCATGGTAATTCGCCAACAGAAATAATTTACCTACATGCATGCTTTGGTTTGATAATTTCTATTAATAGAATGATCACTCTGTTTTTCTCTAATACTCCTGCTTTTTTTTTTTAAGTTTGACTTTTCCTGGCAGAAATACATTTTTCTAGGAATGTTTTATTTTGAATACTCTAACTCTAGAGAATAAAGTAATTTAGCAGAGTTTCTCACACGGGGATTAAAATGGATATTAAAGTATCCACAGAGGATGAAAGTAAGTATAAAGACGAATCAGGCATGAAAGTTCAAAAATGAAAATAGATGAATGATGTTTCTATTTTATCGTCCTTGTAAATAAAATGAATTGTGCTCTTGGCTTTCATTTGCCATATGAATTGATTGCTACAAGATAACTGCTGAGAAAATTGAATTATAATATTTGAGAATCAGTGAATCTGCAGCATTTTTAAAGTAGTCAGTGGGGATATTCCAGACATCCCACTGAGTTTACTTTCCACAGACCTTCAGGGTATGTGCAGGTATCCCTGTGAAAAGGAAGAAAGGCCAGCAGTTTAGAAACTTTCATGTGCATCTTCTTTCAAGATGATCCTGGTAGGATGAGACACTGTCTTTGAGCCCATTTGGCATATTTTTCCATGTTCCTCTCTGCTGAGGGGTTCTACATTTCCCTCTTTTCTCTTGCATGGTCCTTCCAGGACATCTTTCCCTGGCTTCCCCCCGTGCCCACCCCTAACCCCAAGTCTAAAGTCTTGCACTTCTGACAACAGTGGCATGGATTGGATCATTTCATTCATATTTTATTGTGAAACCGTGTGGGTCAAGGTTTACTACTCACTAGCTATGACTATAACATCTGATATTGGTTAAATATTTATTGATATTTTCAAAGGGCCAGATTTCATCTAATACTTTTGTGTGCATTATCCCATTAAATCCAGAGGTAGTGTCTTGTGATATTTTAAAGACGAAGAAGTAGGTTTAGAAGGGTTAAGAAAACTTGGCCAAGGACTCGCAGCTGGGTAAGTAGCAGAAGTGCAACTTAACTCGGGGTTGGGATGATGTGAAATCGACATCACAGTACCTTAAGCAAGTTTCAAAAACTTTCTCTTTTGAAAACCATCACTATGCTTGGAATAACAGTTTGCTTTCCCTCTGGAGGTAAATAGCACAGAGACCACAAAATTGGGCCAACCGCAAACTGCACAGATGGATGTCCCACTCCAATGGACTGTCAGAATGCCCAAGGCTGGAATGAGAGGCTGGAATGTCCTTGCCCAAAAGCTGGAATGACAGGGCTGAGAGAAAAATTGCCTAATCAGCTGCTGTTCATTTTGTTTAACTCAGTGATGCCACGCTTTGCTGAACAAGTAGAGGTTGCCATTGAAGCCCTGAGTGCCAACGTCCCTCAGCCATTTGAGGAGAATGAGTTCATTGATGCCTCTCGCCTGGTCTATGATGGTGTTCGGGACATCAGGAAGGCTGTGCTGATGATCAGGGTATGTATGTGAGGCCTCCATGGCTCAGAGCTGATCAGACCTGCTAGCAGGGACTCCAAAGAGTTAACTGCCGTATTTATTTATTTTAAAATTACTCAGGTTATCTTGGTCAGCTGCTTGGCTCCTTATTTAGTCAGACTAGGTGTACTTTTTACTTACAAAATGATGAGTGATCTCAGTGAGCCCAGGTTAGCACTGAATACCCTCAAGTGTGATTCTATGCCTACTTCTTGCTTATATTATTTCTTAAATTTCATACTGACTTAGGGATTCCCCTGGTATTAGTCATGTGAGTGTTTTGCAAACACTCTTCCCATTGGGTTCAGAAAATCATGGGCTGGAAAGAAATGAAGATTACACAGTTTAATAGAGTTTATAATCATACTATTAATAGTAATAGTTATTATCATTATATAGATGTGAAGTGATACATAATTATATTCTCCTTGTAAAATAATGCAGACATTATAAATAAAGATAGATAGCTTTACAACAAAACTCCCTTATCACCCAACCACTGTCTTCCCATCCTCAAACTTCTGTGGTCAGGTAGGTGTGAGGTCTCTAAACCATTGTCTGAGGGATCATATATAAGCACAGGTCTAGAAAGTATACATCACAGTTTACTTTAAACTTATATAAGGCTGGGCTCGGTGGTTTAGCCTATAATCCCAACACTTTGTGAGGCCCAGGTGAGTGGATTGCCTGAGCTCATGGGTTTAAGGCCAGCTGGGCAACTTGGCGAGACCTCATCTCTACAATAAATTAGCTGGGCATGGTAGCACATGCCTATAATTCTGGCTATTTGGAAGGCTGAGATGGAAGGATCGCTGGAGCCCAGCAGGTTGACGCTGGGATGGCCTTGAGCGTGCCACTGCACTCCACTCTGGGCAACAGAGTGAGACTCAAACTCAAAACAAAACTAAACAAAACAAAAACTTACATAATATCATTTGTGCCTTGCCTTGTTCAGCCACAGTGTGTCTTTATCTATCTCTGTTATGGCACATAGCTTGCCGCATTCCATTTATCTGTTGCTTGGTATTCCATATAAGATGAGAATTTTTTTTCTCTTTACCAACACTTTAGCATAGTAGTGTCCAAACATTTTTATTAGTCATAGAAAGCTTTCTTCAAATTAAATTGCATATGCAAAAGCACAATTGATGACACAGACACTATGATTGAATCAGAGATGGAACCAGTATTAATTCCAAGAGTGTGATGTGTGATTGAAATATAATGGGAACCATAATTATAGTCTAATATTTTCTAGTAGGCATGTTAAAAAACAAAAAATAAGCAGATTAAATTAATCATAATTTTAATAGATTTCATGTAATCAAATGCATCAAAAATATCATCATTTCAACATAAGGCACCAGCCACATTTAAAGGGCCTAGTAGTTCCACGTAGCTAATGACCACTGTGTTGGACCGGTTGCTCTAGATGGTATTCCCATCCTCATCTCCATCTTCAACCTGCACAGCTGTCTCTGAGGCTGATCAATGAGACTGCTAAAAGTATTTGCTGAGCAGACTTTCAACATTTTCTCTCAGAGTGACCATTGAGTACCTAAACCAATCCCCTCCCCCCCACAAAAAAAACCCTACAAAACAGTAACAGTCACAACAAATATATTTTTGTGTGTGTGGTCCCTCAGGTATTTCAAAATGTTTCTATGATGTATTGTTCTCTCTGGACACCCTAGTCCTTTGAGGATTTTACAGCCGGTGTAAATTATCCTCCAAATGTTGGTGTCCTCGAAGCCATAAAATCCAGGCATAGTCTACTTTGACTGTGGTCCTCAGAACACAACACAATGCTTCTGAAATGATCTGAGCAGTCTCAAGTAAAGCATCACCAGACAAGATTTATCTTTCACTCATTATTGGCACCCATGCTTTTCCTGAAACATCTACCAGCTCCTTCACTAGAGAGCCCAATTGCCATCTTCTGATGTTTTCATCTTTAGTCCAGCTTGACTGGTTTTTTATGTTAAATGTAAACCTTTCCTTCATGATAATTTCATGATCAACTCAGTATGGCATATACTTAGCAATGTGGCGTTCAGATTTGAGATTTGAAGACTTTGAGAATAATTTTCTGTTCTTGTAACTTGCCCATTTTTATACCTGTTAAACTCTGACCGCCTTCAATTCCTGGCTCAAATGTTCACTCCCTAATTTTCTCCTTCAACAAAAATGACCTTATCTTTTAACACCCCTACCTGTTTTTGCTTGACCATATGTATTACACAATCTCCTTTTATCTCTCTTATTCTGATTGGAAAAAACTTAGACTGTGTTTTTCTCCTGCCCTCATACCATAACAACAGCAATCAACACAGAAGACTTCTGTGACCACGTGTGTGTCGGGGAAGGGGGGGTGGTTTCCTCCCACCACCAAGCAAGCAGTCTTCTGTCTCTAGGTTTTCTCCAATCAATTCCAATACTATCTATCTGGAGATAGCATCAGATCCCCAGATTGAGGGTTCAGTCTTCAAGGCTGTCCCCTTTATAAACACCAATTGAAAGTCTGGGCCTCCAGAAGTTTTGAACAACTGGCTTCAAGTTGGGGTTTCTGTGTTCCATGAATTTGCTAGAACTGCTCACTGAACTCAGGGAAACATGTTTTCTGGTTTACTGTAAAGGATGTTACAAAAGATACAGATGAGAGATGAATATAGAGTGAGGTATGTGGAGAAGGAGCACAGAGCTTCCATGTCCTCTCTCAGCACACCACCTTCTAGAAACCTCGGAATGTTCAGCTATCCAGAAGCTCACCAATCTCTGTTTTTCTGGTTTTTTTCTGGTGACTTTATAATACATAGGCATGATTGGTTGAACCATTGACCAGTGATGATCAATTTAAGCTTCAGCCTTTTTTTTTTCCTCCCCAGAGGTTGGGTGAGGCTTCTACTATCTATCCTTTAAGTATGTTTTGTTTTTTCTGGTGATCAGTCCTCATCTTGAAGCTACCTAGAGGCTGCCAACCGTAAGTCAACTCGTTAGTGTACAGAAAGACATCACTTTGTAGTTTCTTTGAATTTTAGGAGTTGTAATCTAGAAATGAGGTTGAAGACCAAATATACATTTCACAATATCACAGTTGCCCTCTCTAGAATGTAAAATTTTGTAAAACAGCTGTCTCCCATTCCCTCCACTATGGTATTTGGTTTGGCATGGAGCAAGTCTAAAACACAGGGAGCCTAATACTCATACTTACTCTCTCTCTCTGTTCATGTGTGTGCATGCATGTGCATGTGTGTATGTGTGTGTGAGAGACACATACACACATAGAGACAGAGAGAAAGAGAAACCTAGAAAGACCAGAAGAACACAGAAAAAAAAGACATAAAAATCAGAAGAAAGAGATATTCAGCCTTTTAAACCTTTAACAAATTATATCATTTTTCCCCATTACATACTAACTTGTGAAATAAGGTAATAGACCATGAGAGTTATGTTTTCAAAGCATTTGGTACTAAATCCCACTATAATCCTTAAGACATATTGCCTCTTTTGGCATTTTTCTGCTTTGTTAACCTTCACATTTTTGTGACAACCATTCATCTGGGAGGCTGAGGAAGTTTATAGCCATCATTCATTTATTTATTCATGAGCTGTGAAAAAAAAAACACCCAATTTTAGATAAAATGCCATATCTTTGTCACATGAAGTGTCATTTCTCTATCTCGACATTTCAAGTGATTTGATCAGATGGATTTCACACCACTTAAAATTTAGGGAGCGGGAAATGTACAGTATGTACAAATTGTTATTTTTAAAATTTTTCTCCATTCAACACCCAAATGACTTCATTTTGCACGTAAATAAGTTTTTGATTTTCTTTCTAAGTAAAATGATTAAGTCCACTTAAAAAAAATCCATTGTACTAAGTAGAGAAGATAAAGAATAAGTAGAATTATTTCTTTCGCAGCAAATTCGACCATGCCTCCTTCCCTTTCAAAGTGTTGATTATACTTTGAGAAAGAAAGAGTATTTTTTTTCACAAAAATAAATGCAGAAAGGATCTTGAAGTGACAAATTCTCTATCACCTTGCCTCTTGGCAGTCAATACATATTTAATGGCAATGTTGGTATCTGAATGCTGCAGGCCAGCCCCAGGCAACCCTCTGAAGTAGACAAAACTTGCTCTTCCTATGTACCAACCTCACCTTTCAACCTCACCTAATTTTCTCTTGGAATAATCTACTCTGCACCCTCCTCCATGAGACTAGTTTTTTTTTTTTTTTTTGCTTCTTGCTGTGGCTTGTCCCTGTAATCTGTTAGACACATAGGGATTTTAATCCACATAAGGTAGATTAAAAAACAAATAGGCAAATCTAGCATACCAGCATATAATCAGTTCTCATTATTTGCAGTAGTTATGTTATATAAATTCACTGTGGACACTAAAATCATGAATACTGAACCATTGCATCTAGGGGGTGATAAAGGGTTAGGATATTATGAACTTCTGGTCTTATTTTCATCAACTGATCAATAGATAACCCTGTTTCATGTAGATTTTAGTTTCAAGACACATTATTTAATATGTATTGTTGATTCATTAACATTGAATTCAATGGTCAGAAGTGTTAACTCATGATTGAACTAACATGTTTTTTTCCTTAAGGTACATCATAGCCTTCTTGTACTTGAGAATGCTAGATGACACTTCAGCACTATACTTGAGGGACATTTTAAGTAGATTAAATTATCAACAAAAGTCACAAAAAATGTGGCACCAAATAGACCACAAAAATAACACTTGTTTACACTAAGGGAGCTTAACTAAGAAGGCAGAGCATTGTGCTGTTTGACCTTGGGAACATGTACAGTGGGTGACTCAAATTTTTTTACACTCTCTTGTGTCCAAGAATAACTACAAAAACACCTTGACTATTGATTTTGGGGATTACAAATCAATTATACGGAGTAGGCAAATACACAAATAAGGAATATGGAAATAATGAGGACCAAGTATATATTTA